AAGCGGCACAACTGTTTTCAACATTGATAATGATCAGAAATGTTTCTTGAGCATCAAATTAATAACATCAGCATATTATCCGGATTTCTGAAGGATCATGTGACACTGAAGACTGGAGTAATGATGCTGAACATTCAGCTTAGAACAGGAGTAAATTACACTTCATAATACAGAAAACAGCAGTGAAATAATTGTATTTTGAAATAAGTGGATCAAATAAATACAGCCTTGGTGAGCAGAAGGGACTATTCAAATATTTTCAAACTTTTGACTGTACTGTGTGTGTTGTATGTGTAGGCTATATATAGGCCTAATTCATTTAATAACTATTATTATTATGTATGTGGAAACTCTTGACAATGAATTAAGTCAAAATGATTTAACTTTTGAAATTTAATCATATCGAACATTATGATCATAACAAAAAAATGTTGACCTTTAAAAACTTTAAAACTCAGCTTAAATAGGCCTATTGACATTTCTAACATTTCTAATTGATTTCATGTCTAATATTTTAAAACCCGACGCCAGCACGGTAAACTTTTACCGGCACAATCCAGCACAAACGAACGAGACTATTTTGGGTGAATTTCGATCATGTGGGGGGCTGGTGAAGTCATCATTAATAATGTAATGTCTAATATTTTAAAACCCGACGCAGCACAAATTAATCTTTACCGGCACAATCCAGCACAAACGAAGCACAAACGAACGAGACTATTTTGGGTGAATTTGGATCATGTGGGGGGCTGGTGACGTCATCAATAATAATGTAATGTCTAATATTTTAAAACCCGACGCAGCACAAATTAATCTTTTACCGGCACAATCCAGCACAAACGAAGCACAAACGAACGAGGCTATTTTGGGTGAATTTCGATCATGTGGGGGGCTGAGTGACCTCAGGTGACCTACCTAAAAATATTTTAATATCTAAAAAAACGAAGCAGCTGAAACGAAACGTTTTACAGCACAAACCAGCACAAACGGAGCACAAACGAACGAGACTATTTTGGATGAATTTGAAGCATGTGGGGGGCTGAGTGACGTCATCGACCTAACCTTCAATGATTAATATTTAAAAATCCAAAGCAGCTCAAACGAAACTTTTTACAGCACAAAACAGCACAAACGGAGCACAAACGAACGAGACTATTTTGGATGAATTTGAAGCATGTGGGGGGCTGAGTGACGTCATCGACCTAACCTTCAATGATTAATATTTAAAAATCCAAAGCAGCTCAAACGAAACTTTTTACAGCACAAAACAGCACAAACGGAGCACAAACGAACGAGACTATTTTGGATTCATTTGGAGCATGCGGGGGCTGATGACGTCATCGCCTATAATTCAAAGTCTGTTATTTTAAAACCCGACGCAGCACAAACAAAAATTTTACTGGCACAATCCAGCACAAACGAAGCACAAACGAACGAGACTATTTTGGGTGAATTTTGATCATGTGGGGGGGGGCTGAGTGACCTCAGAATGACCTAAAAATATTATTTTAATATCTAAAAAACCGAAGCAGCACAAACGAAACTTTTTACAGCACAAACCAGCACAAACGGAGCACAAACGATTGAGCATATTTTGACGACGTTTTGCGTTGGGTGGGGAGCCAACTTCACGCAGGTGTCCCACCTAGTATGCATTTCTGTTAATTCAATGTCTCATCGTGTATTAACTTCTTTATAACATACTTCATAATAGTATAAATTAATGTGTTAATTACCACAATTAGTCAACGCTATGCACTTCAAAGAGTTGTCTGCTTTAATTAATCAGCTAATGATTTGCAAAGGTATCATTATGTTATGACTTTACTTGTTGAGACACATGATTATTAACAGATTGTTAAGAAATATGTCATTTTGGTTTTGACATCCACACTATGGATTTCTTTTTCCCGCCGTCTACAGCGGGGATTCGCTGTGCCAGATGAAGCGCCGCATCCAGTAGTTCATGGCACAGGTGTGTGTCAGGTTAAGCTTGAGCTCTAGGAGAAGAACACTGAGAATATGCGGCCGGGCTCTGCTATTTCATAACGCTGTGTCTAGACCGGACAAAGAAACTAGAAGCCATTATAATCGGTGATACAACACTGGATGCAACACAATGCAACATGACACAACCCCTACAGTGATGCCACTATTTCTGACACAATCCGAGCTCTTGCGCTACTTCTGTTCTGAAGGACAAATGGACTTGCAATGGTCTGTCATGTCCAGTGTAGACAGCTGAAATGGTCCTGTCCAGTTTAAACACAGTGTCAGTATTTCAGATTCTGGTGTGCTGATATTTGTGTGACATTACACTCTTACTGCCCAACAGACCTTTAGTAACCATAATGACATATTACTTAACAATTAGTTAATTAGGTACAACCTTTTATTTTTTCGAGGAATAGATGGTTATTCCAGTAAGGGAAATGTAACACGGTTCAGGGAAGAAGGAGGCAGGAACCGGATAATAATAATAAAATAAAACTTTATTTAAATAAAATAAACAAACAAATTACCTGCCAGCAGCCCCTCGCGGACGACTGCTGGCTACCCAAAATAAAACATAAATACCGGCCAGCAGCCCCTCACGGACGACTGCTGGCTTACCAAATAAAATATAAAATACAAATAAAAGCAGGCCTGTTCCTCTCTCGATCATCCACTCCGTCGCTCCCCCTTTATGGCTCCGCTCCTTCGTGAGAGATGCGAGACCGGTGTGCTTCGCAGGTGCTGCTCATTAGCAATCGCAACACCGGCCTCGCGACTTTCTCTCACGTCCCTCGGCCGTCCTGCTCACCACAGGAAGATTTTTACATTTCTTGACTGTGCAAGGTGCACATTTCACTTGTCCTAAATATTATTTCCTTTGTCAATTTACATTTAAATCCTATAATGTTTTGTACAAATAATATACCTTAAGTTAGCGAACAATAATCGCTCTGACACCCATTTAACCATCTTCAGTGAGGCTGTAATTGAACATGGCTTTCCATAGAGGCAAGAGTGTTTTAAAAAGCAACCTAAAAAATCAGCAAATCTTTAATCTTATTAATCTTTAATGCCACACAATCATGTTATGTAAGATTTGACCTCCTAGTTCATAATCAATTGTGGTTAAGTAATGCTTGTTTAATGCTTCGTCCTCCGTTAGTTTTGGCCATGTCATTTTCTGGAGGACAGTCTACAAGCGTAGAATGAAGATGTGAGATCAAGTATTATTCTTCTGTGTTCAAGTGTCTCAGTAGAGCATTGTGACCCAAGGCTTTGGGTTCGATTTCCAAGGACACCATATACTAAAAAAATGCATCGCTTGAATGCATCGTGAGTTGCTTTATAAAACTGTCTGCTAAATGTATGTGTTTAACACAATGTTTAAAAGAGCTGCTAATTATATTTAACTGTGAATCAATAGCTACTGTTGATCCCCTTGGGTAAAAGGACCCTGTGAACAATCCTATCTTTTGGAAGTAAGAGGCCAGATCCCTGTGTCCTTCATCCCTCTGCGCAGATCTTTAATTTACTTCTTTACTCATCCAAGAACCTGAAAGTATGAATAAAATAACTAGTTTACAAAAACAAAGCCTAAACAATGCTTAATGATCTTTTTACAAAGCTTTCACACATTAACTTGCATATAATTGTAATATTCATTATATAGGCTAAAACATAATTTAAAAGTTGATATGTAATTGTTGAAGTGCAGACATATTTAACATTAGATCAATCCGTGATCTAAGGCTTTACAAAGAATTGTGGTTACAGCATTTGAGTCAGTAGTTGCTGATGATTTTGTTTCCAAATCCAGACTCCTTAAAAAAATGGGTAACACTTTATTTTACGACCCGCAAACAACTGTGTAAGTACACTGAAATTACGGTGTACGTTTCTGTAATTATAGTGTACTTCTGTGTAAGTAGCCTACAAGGGAACAATATGTTAAGTTTGGGGTAATAAAGGGTGTAACAAGGTTCAGGGGAGAAGGAGGCAGGAACCGGATGACAATCCAAAAATAAAACTTTATTTAAACAAAATAAACAAATTACCTGCCAGCAGTTCCGTGAGGACGACTGCTGGCTTACCAAAATAAAGAATAAAAGCAAAAGCAGGCCTGTTCCTCTCTCGATCATCCACTCCGTCACTCCCCCTTTATGACTCTGCTCCTTCGTGAGAGATACGAGACCGGTGTGCTTTGCAGGTGCTGCTCATTAGCAATCGCAACACCGGCCTCGAGACTTTCTGTCACGTCCCTCGGCCGTCCTGCTCACCACAAAGGGGTAACAAACAGATATACAACCTGCAAATAACTTTGTAAGTACACTGAAATTACGGTGTACGTTTCCGTAGTTATAGTGTACTTCCGTGTAAGTATAGGGAACAATATGTTAAGTTTGGGGTAATAAAGGGGTAACAAGCAGATGTACAAGCAAATTATTTAATTAGTTAAAAAAATAACAGGTACCTATTCTGTTAATATATTCCAGCTGTTTATAAAATGTATCACATTTCTGGCAAAATATGTTCTTGTGCAATGTTACAGGGTAATTTTGACATCTGTGGGTTAAAAATTAAACACACACACACACACACACACAAATAACTTCACACACAATAAAACAATAACACTAAAGATATTCTGTGTGTAAAATGTTTCAGAGATAATGTACATGTTTAAAAGTAACACGTAAACTTTATGTTTTGAAACGTGCTATACTTGACAATCACGTTCATGATTAGAAATATTTTAATAATTATGGATCATCTGAGCTTCTTCCTCTGTTCCACCTTTAATTACAACTAAACCATAATTTGGCTGAATAATAAACCAACATTAATCATTCAATATCACATGTTTCTAATACGCATGCTAACACACACACGCTGCTTTATTTAATAGTGAAGTTTGAGTCTCTTCCACCTGTATGAAACACATTTACACATGTATTTCTCCTCATAGACAGCAGTGAGACTCTTCTGTGGATCACCTGATGGTTTCTGCTCCTCTCTCCGTCTCACAGATTTAAACCATGATGTAAATCCACTGACGTTTTATGATCAATCTTCATCTACACTGTAAAGTGGAACAGAAGAGAAAAAAATCAGTGTTCAGAGGAACAATGTGCAAATTATTATATTTCAATTATTGTTTTTTGAGTAAAAATAAGTTAAATTGAATTCCTGTAATCAGATTAATTACTGACTTCACATGATATTGGATAGAGATATTTGTGTTTTTAAATATAATAGATGTAAAGCCTGAATCATGTTCATATGTGTGTGTGTGTGTGTCGGTGCGACTCCTATTGAGTCTCTGTAAAGGAGAAACTAATGAGTGTACGGCTTATGGAATAAACCACAGCGAGCAAATACTAATGTTATTTTGAGTTAAACACAAACCCTTAGTTAAAGCCGTTTGTCCTCTAGTTTAAACATGTTTGTAGGCTCTTAGTAAATAACTGAGAGTAAAGTAAGTGTAGAGTAGTGTGACGTGTTGCTTGTCACAGTAAAAACACACTAGAGACAGAGACATTGCTCATGTGAGCTGGACGCTGTGAGCTGAAGCTGGAACTGCACTGATTTTAGCAGGAGTGCAGCGTTTCCTACAATCTGACCAAGTCTGTTTCACACTCAAAAGATTCACTTCTACTGACACAGTTCATAAAGCAGGTGTTGATGTATAAAGCTGTGACAGTGAGCTTTTCTTCTCTTTCCTCCTTTGTGTTCAACATTTCAATAACTTCACATTATGTTCCCTGTGTTGCAACAAAGCTTATTGATAATTTCCTTTCACGAATGTTTGAAAGTATTGTTCACATATCAGAGGTAAATGAAGATGTCTTTAATATCTCAGTGATGTTTCCTCACCTCAGGACACAGTTTGAGTCTCGTAGCTCGTCTCTGAGCCGCTGCTTTGAGTCTCTGATCTTATTCTGTCTCAGATCAAGCTCTTTTAAAAACTGCAGTGCTTTTGAGTTAGTCAAAGACTGAGTTAAAGAAGAAACATCTGTAATGCCACAGTCATATAGACTAGAGAGACACAAACAGAGGAAGAGAGATGTGAAGAATTTTACACAAATATAATGTGAACTCAAACTCACTGTCAGATATTGAGTATAAAGTGTTTTAGTTTAATAAACCCAGAAAGTGCACTGCTATAACCAATGAAACATAAGCCCTGCTGTCTTCAAATAAATAAACTTCAGTCACACTGTAATTGCTGTACAGTATAATGACACTAACTGTAGTTTCTCCAGCATGAATTGTGGGTTCATCAGTAGATCACTGAGGTTTTTCACTCCAGAGTCCCCTAGTTTATTCACGCTCAGGTCCAGCTCTCTCAGGTGTGACGGGTTTGATTTCAGAGCTGAAGTCACATCAGAACAACCTTCATCTGTCATATCACAGTATATTAACCTACATTAGCAGAGAGAGAGAGAGAGAGAGAGAGAGAGAGAGAGAGAGAATGAAGAAAATAAGAGACTCTTTATTCTGTAAAGTCACATCATCTTCATCAGCAAATAAAACAGACAGAGGAAGAGAGATCTTCATCTTTATTTCATCAGATAATAAAATACTAAGGTGAAAATGTTTGTACAAATATAATTATGGCGAGCAGGACGAGGCAGAGGGACGTGAGAGATACGAGACCAGTGAGTCGTGCAGGTGTTGCTCATTATCAATCACGCCACCGGCCTTGTGCCGCTCTCTCACGACCCTCAGCCTCATCCTGCTCGCCAAAATAATGTGAATGTGTTCTAGTTTAAACAGTTGAAGTGATTTTAAACATTTTGATTCTTGTATGTGAATGTGACTGACCTCAATCTCTCCAGTTTACAGTGTGAATCCTTCAGTACGGCACATAAGTGCTTCACTCCTGAGTTTCCTAGTTTATTCCCGCTCAGGTCCAGCTCTCTCAGGTGTGACGGGTTTGATTTCAGAGCTGAAGACAGGATGAGACTCTGTTTCTCTGTAATACTGCAATAACTCAGACTGAAGACAGAGAAATAACAATAGTTCACATCTATGATGATCATCTTATTGAAGAGCTACAGCAGCATTTAGTTTCCAATAGTCTGTTTTAAAACCCAGTCACACTAGTTCTGTGCGCTGTGTCTCTCTCTTCTTTATTCTCTGTTGAAAAGGCAGATTTCTGTGTGTACACGATCAGTACATTGTATCATATGTTGGGAATTAAACAATTACTATCTACACTCTACTAGCTAGATAAAAAACATAAAAATGTGAGCAACAGGGAAACCCAGAAAGTGCACTGCTATAACCAATAAAACATAAGCCCCGCTGTCTTCAAATAAATAAACTTCAGTCACACTGTAATTGCTGAACAGTATAATAACACTAACTGTAGTTTCTCCAGCTTAAATTGAGGGTTCATCAGTAGATCACTGAGGTTTTTCACTCCAGAGTCTCCTAGTTTATTCCTGCTCAGGTCCAGCTTTCTCAGATGTGACGGGTTTGATTTCAGAGCTGAAGTCACATCAGAACAACCTTCATCTGTCATATCACAGTATCTTAACCTACATTAGCAGAGAGAGAGAGAATGAATGAAGAAAATAAGAGACTCTTTATTATGTAAAGTCACATCATCTTCATCAGCAAATAAAACAGAGGAAGAGAGATCTTCATCTTAATTTCACCAGATCACAAAATACTAAGGTGAAAATGTTTGTACAAATATAATTGTGGCGAGCAGGATGAGGCAGAGGGACGAGAGAGATACGAGACCGGTGAGTCGTGCAGGTGTCACTCATTATCAATCACGACCCCTCGCCCTCGTCCTGCTCGCCACAATAATGTGAATGTGTTCTAGTTTAAACAGTTGAAGTGATTTTAAGCATTTTGATTCTTGTGTGTGAATGTGACTGACCTCAATCTCTCCAGTTTACAGTGTGAATCCTTCAGTACGGCACATAAGTGCTTCACTCCTGAGTCTCCTAGATTATTCATGCTCAGGTCCAGCTCTCTCAGGTGTGACGGGTTTGATTTCAGAGCTGAAGTCAGGATGAGACTCTGTTTCTCTGTAATACTGCATCCACTCAGACTGAAGACAGAGAAATAACAATAGTTCACATCTATGATGATCATCTTATTGAAGAGCTACAGCAGCATTTCGTTTCCAATAGTCTGTTTTAAAACCCAGTCACACTAGTTCTGTGCGCTGGAAGACACTGTTTCTTCTATTTCATTTTTAAAAAGACTATCTAGATTAAAAAAAACACATAAAAATGTGAGCAATAGGGAAACCCAGAAAGCGCACTGCTATAACCAATGAAACATAAGCCCTGCTGTCTTCAAATAAATAAACTTCAGTCACACTGCAGACCTGCTAACCTAGAAGAAATTTTATGAGTACTTTTATGGCGGGGGGGGGGGGGATGCTCATATATTTTTGTCATTATTTTGAGAATGCAAGACACACAGAGACGCATGCCTATCTGCATAATTAAAAATAGTTTTGACCTCTAAAGGTTTTTTTATTTGACACAAATACTAATTTAACTTGCACTGCAATGCAACAGTGAAAGTACAAAGTTTCATTCCTGCTCAGCACCATCTCATTATTCATGATTGATTATGTTATGATCCTGTCTCTTTCTCCCTCCTTTGTCTCCCTCTGCTGGTCACACTGTATTATACACGCTTATTTACTGATCCGCAATTACTCTCTCCCTCTTCTCAGCTGTTCCTTGTTCCCTTCTTCTTCGCTCTAGATTTCCCGCACCTGTTCCCTTTTTTCCCTCTGATTACTGTTGCTACTTCTTCCCTCTCTTTTCCCTGTCTCTTTGTCAGATTGTTTGTTAACCTCTGATGAAAGAGACTATGCAGATTTACCCTTTGTCAACCCGCTTGTTCCTGTCCTGTCTGGTCCGGTGTTGGTTGATCCCTCTGGGAGACCTTCATTTGCAAGTACTGTTCACCTGAGCTAAAGTTGTTTTCTGTGTCGATTCAGTATTCATACTGCCAGAGACAGCTACTGTTTCCTGCTGACCATCCTCCGGGAGTCTCCCGAGTGACCAGAGGATAGCCGCCGCCCGCGCTCCTTATCCTTGCAATGTACCGCCCTCACTGTTCCAGAGTGGATTCCTCTGTTAAAATTATATGGCCCTGAATTCTGGCTGTTTCTGTTTGGAAAATTTTCTGCAAGAACATTTCTGTTGCTGGTGGCTTCCTCATTTATTGACATTAAAGGATCTATTTGACTGTGGTTCGCAGTTGGGTCTTTTCTCTCCATAACTCTCTCGTACAATATGACCACGATGGACCCAGCGAATGAGAACCCCTTTCACGTCGCGTTGGAACGCCAGGGAGTGTTGCTTGGCAGGCATGAGGATGAGTTGGCCTCCACGAGATGCGTCGTGGAGTCTCTGGCTGAGCAGGTGTCAGAGCTTTCCTCGCAGCTTCGTCAATTGCGCCACCAGCCGCCTTCCCTGTCTGGATCGTCTGATCCCCCGGAGCCTAGGATCAATAACCCGCCTTGCTATTCGGGTGATCCCACGCAATGTTGTGCGTTTCTTACACAGTGTGAGGTCATTTTTTCTTTTCAGCCCTCTACCTACTCCAGAGACCGCGCAAGGGTCGCCTATGTGATTTCACTTCTTTCTGGAAGGGCTCGTCAGTGGGGAGCGGCTAACTGGGAGGCAGAGGCTGACTTCATGAACTGTTTTTCCCTAAGGAGGAGATGATCCGCGTTGTTGACCGCTCAGCGCATGGTACTGAGGCTTCCCATCTGCTTTCATCTCTTCGCCAGGGGAGGCTTTCAGTTGCTGACTTCTCTATCGAATTCCGCACCCTAGCGACCACAGCTGGCTGGAATGAACCTGCGCTGGTAGCCTGCTTCCTGGAGAGACTTAACGCAGAGGTCCGGGATGAGATCTTCGCCAGGGAGGTTCCCAGTCTCATTGACCCTCTGATCGACCTCGCCATTCGCATCGAGAAGCGTTTTGACTCACGCCAACAGGCTAAGTACTCTGATGCTGCTCTACGTTCTCTGCAACCCGCTCTGTCGTCACCCACTCTCACTGAGGCTGCGCTCGAACCCATGCAGCTAGGAGGCTTGCGTATTTCCTCGAAGGAGCGAGAGCGGAGAATCATTAACCGTTTATGCCTCTACTGTGGTTCTGATAAACATTTCGCCCCGACCTGTCAGTTAAAAGCCAACGCTCGCCAGTACTGTACTACCATCCCGGTTCATTTGCACTGGCCGGGTTCCTCAGTGTCTACTAGTGCAATGATAGACTCCGGGGCAGAGGGGAATTTTATTGACGAGGCTTGGGCTCTGGAACAAGGTATCCCCCTCATTGATCTAGAATAGACCACTCCCCTCTTGGCCTTAGATGGTAGTTCCCTTCCTAATATTCATCGTGAGACCATCCCACTGACCCTCACGGTCTCTGGGAATCATCGCGAGACTACTTCTTTTTTAGTCTTTCATTTTCTGTTCTCACCCATAGTGTTAGGGCATCCCTGGTTGGCGGGCTTAATGACATAACTGTCAAGAATCGTTACCCTCTGACACTTATGTCATCAGCCTTCGAGATATTACAGGGAGCTAGATTCTTCACAAAGCTAGACTTGCGTAACCCTTACCATTTAGTACGCATAAGGGAGGGGGACGAATGGAAGACCGTGTTTAATACACCCCTCGGGCAGTTCGAATATCGCGTCCTTCCTTTCGGTCTGGTAAACGCCCCTGCGGTTTTTCAAGCCCTCGTTAACGACGTCTTGCGCGATATGCTCAACGTTTTTGTTTTCGTGTACTTGGATGACATTCTGATTTTTTCACCCTCTCTCCAAGTGCACACTCAGCATGTTCTTCGCATACTCCAGCGCCTTTTGGAGAACCGTCTTTTCGTCAAGGCAGAGAAGTGCCTATTTCACGCTACCTCAGTTACTTTTCTTGGGTCCGTAATTTCGGCGGAGGGGATGAGTATGGACCCCACTAAGGTCCAGGCTGTCATTACTTGGCCCGTACCCGAGTCTCGCACGGAGCTTCAGCGATTTCTGGGCTTCGCTAATTTTTACCGCCGGTTTATCCGAAATTTTAGTCAAGTGGCAGCTCCTTTAACTGCTCTAACCTCGTCCAAGTCTAGTTTTGCAAGTACCGATTCCGCCCAGAGAGCTTTCGACCATTTAAAGACTCTTTTTACCACTGCTCCCATCTTGCTCACCCCCGACATTTCCCAGCAGTTCATTGTCGAGGTTGACGCCGCAGAGGTGGGTGTCGGGGACATTCTCCCCCAACGCTCATCCTCTGATGGCAAGGGCCATCCATGCGCGTTTTTCTCTCAGCGTCTCTCGGCCCCTGAACGGAACTACGACGTCGGCGACCGTGAACTGCTTGCTATTCGCTTAGCTTTGGGGGAATAGCGCCATTGGTTGGAGGGAGAATCCGTTCCTTTCATCGTGTGGACCGATCACCGTAATCTCGAATATATTCGCTCTGCGAAGAGATTAAGTGCGCGTCAGGCTCGCTGCGCTCATTTCTTTACTCGGTTCGACTTTACTATTTCGTATCGCCCTGGGTCAAGGAATGTTAAGCCCGACGCACTCTCTCGTCTTTTTGCTTCCTCCGCTGTCACCCCTAACCAGGAGAGTATAATTTCCCCCACGCGCGTGGTCGGGGCTATGGTTTGGGGAATAGAGAGACTTGTTAAGCGCGCTCTCTCTCATTCCATCACTCCACAAGGCTGACCTAAACATTTACTTTTCGTCACGGTCTCTGCTTGTCGAGCGGTCCTTCAGTGGGGTTACTCTTCTAAATTGGCTGCCCATCCTGGCGTTAGAGGAACTCTAGCCTCCTTTCGACAGCGTTTCTGGTGGCCCACACGTGAAAAGGACATTCGTCGATTTGTTGCTGCCTGCACCATTTGTGCCCAAACTAAGTCCAGTCATTCTCCGCCGTCTGGTCTCTTAAGACCTCTATCCGTCCCGCCGCATCCGTGGTCGCATATAGCGCTGGACTTTATCACTGGTCTCCCTTCGTCCGCTGGGCATACCGTTATCCTCACGGTCGTCGATCGTTTTTCTAAGGCCGCGCATTTCATCTAGCCTGGCTGTGCCCTCCTACGCACTTCCGCTCAAATTCTTTTTACTTCAGTACTGCGTCTGGGACTCCTGTGTATCCTTAGGTTTCCAGAAATCAATTTTTTGTAGGACCAATCAGCGAATAGAGGGAGTGGCTGAGAACGATGACGTTGATGTAGCGCACGTCAGTTTCAGTTCAGTAATGGCAGCGGAGAAAGACGTGAGAAAAGCTATTCGGTCCGTTGTTGGAAAAGAAACTGCCGAATACAGAATTTAAAGCCGGATTGTTATCATCTCACCTCTTGTTGCACAACGGAGGACCAAGTGAAGGAGGCAGAAAGTTTGGAAGTTTGTGCTGGGCAGCTCGTGCACGATGAACGTGACATTTTGGACGGACGGTTTAGCCTGGTGTTCGCGGTGTTCGGAAGCCCTGAGTCCTGGCTGCTAAACTATTGTTGAAGATCCGCTCAGGAGTCATGTCAGTCGCTCATAT